AATTATGAATAACTTTTATTGGTCACTGGTTACATTTTTATTTGATAAACATATATTTTTAAAGCTGAACTCCAGGTGCATAAAAATAATTGAATTCAGTTATGGATGCATTAAAAAAATCATAAAATGTATTTTTAGACAGTGCTAATATAAGTACCTGAAATAGTCTTGATACCAGTCTTCTGTAATTCTGTAACAGTAGCATTAGGAGATGGAGGTGCAGCCCTTTAAGCCAACCAGTCTTTACTGCATCACACAGTAGTGTCCATCCAGCACTGATAGTAGAGCACAGGGATGACGTCATCAGTGTGCTACTGCTGATTCACTGTCTAATCACAGGCTGGGGTGGATATTAGACCAGGCTGTATAACCCAACTGCAGTACAGTCTGTAAGGATGTCACAGGAAGTGCAGGAAGAGGCCATACAGTTTAGCAGAGCTGCATTGATGCCAATATTGGCTGAACAAAATGGCAAATCTATTAGCAGGAAAATAGTTTCCATGTGTGAAATTCAATCTAAGTCAGTGTAGTTATTACTTGAAAACTACACTTGCAGTGCCCCCCCCCCTCACTGCAAGGGTTAAATGCTTGTTAACTCTAAGAGTACAGAATTAGAGTGTAATACCTACTGTATTCCTGACTCCATTAGGTTTCAGTTCTCACCTTTTTCCGCTGACACTCTGGATTCTGGGTGTTCCCGCACTGCCCTAATATTGCAATATTGGCCCTGCATTTTATGTGATAACAGCAGTGTCTGAGTGCCGGAGTAATGTGCTTTTACTCTACCTCTAGTGTCAACAAGCATTCAATCTTTGCAGTATGGGGGGTGCACTGCAAGGGTATTTTTTGTGTCTAATTCCTGGAATTCAGCTTTAAATGTTGTATAAGTAGAATAATACACAAGTTGACATTTATTAATGCACTGGAATGACAAGTAGAGTATATCCTTTAGATTTATACAGTAACAAATACAGTAATACCTTGGTTTACGAGCATAATTGGTTCCGGAAGCATGCTTGTAATCCAAAGCGCTTGTATAGCAAAGCGAATTTCCACATAGGAAATAATGGAAATTCAGATGATTCGTTCTACAACCCAAAAATATTCATATTCATATTCATATAAAAATTATTACAATACTGTACTGTAATATAATACAAAATATAAAGAAAAAATAAACCAATTACTGGTATCTTCGTGGCTGGTGTGAGGGGGACAAGAGAGGATGACTTTCACTATCACTAAAGGAATCACTGCTATCTCTTGGCTCAATGGAATCTTTTTCATTTCGTGAAACCTTAACAAGGAATCTATCCAATGACACTTGCTGTTGCCCCCTGTTGAGGATTTTGCGGCAATGTGACATTGCATTGTTTGTTAAACAGATTCATCGCTCGCACTGCTACAGCCTTATTTGGGTGGTGCTTTTCTACAAAATGTTGCTCTTATTGCATGACATCACTCGTATATCAAGGCAACATTTTTCAGAAATGTTTGCTTGTCTTGCAAAACACTCTCAAACCAAGTTACTTGTAAACCAAGGTATTACTGTATATCTAAGCATCATAAAGGGAAGTCAACTTTATTATTATCTATATTTTTATTTGATAATTAAATTATTTAAACAAATTAATCAATGTCACACACAAAATTCTAATATATTTTAACTACAGAAATTATGAAAAATATCCAAACATTAGAACTGTATTACAAAAAACTGTAAGAATAGTAGTTTAATTAGTTTGTGAAATCCTGCTCACCTGGTCCTTTGAGGTAAGGAGATGTATGCAAGGAAATAGATTGTTACCATGGGGATATGCTCCACTTCACTAAATTGGTGTTCAAAGTCCTAAGTCAATTATACTGGAATGTTTCATGTGCACGCATATGCACACCTCCTTCAGTTTGTAAGTCATTCCACTTGCATCAATAGAGATAGACCACCAAGTAAAACCCAGGTTATAAGATAAGCCCCAATATGTTTACATGTACAAAACCTGCACACCGTGTAATCATAAGTAGGCCACTGTGCCTGTTCTTTCATGCACCATATATGTGTACAAGTGATACTTGATATTGTTTCATGCTTCATGAATATTTATGGAAGGTGTATCAAGGCCATTGAGTGGAACCCTTGTTCCAGTTCTGGTTTTAATAAAAATTGCATAGACAGTTTACACACAGAGATGCAAAGAGCCAGAGTGTATAGTAAACCATGAAGTCATAACAACTAGACAATACATTTCCTCTTTGAAGCAGCCAGAACAATGAAAGACAATTCATGAGCTCTTGTTTAGGGTTATTACATTGACTATATACTATAACAACATATTGGCATTACACTTAAAACCTATGCGGGTGTGTATGTGTGTAAATGTACCTGTAACAAGCACTTATGTATTTGTTCAGAAACTTTATACTTTAAATGATACCTTTATTCATAAAGGTACATTCCTCTCTCAGTTAATAATAAAACCTTGAAATTAACCCTTTCGCTGCCAAGCCCTCCGGAACAT